CAGGATGCCCGGGGAGGGGGAGGGTGGGGGGGGGGGGGGGGCAAGCAGAAGCTCTGCTGCCCCCCCCTGAGAGCACCAGCCAGGGAGTGAGGGCACCAGGCTGGCAGTGCCCTGCAGGCACTTCCGGGTCAGCACGATCAGCTGTGGGGGACCCGACCCCCCCCACCCCCCCCGGTTGGTGCAATCGGCTGCAGAGGGACTCCTCCCCCTGGTCGTTGACTGGCCACTGGGGGGACAAGTGCCCCGACTCAGGAGGCACCAGTTGCCCATGTAAAGAACTATTACTTACTACCAAGTTAGCTTACATTAGGAAACAGCTTTCCAACAAATATTTAAGGAAAGTACTCTGTACTTTTAAATTCAATTCACCTAGATGGTAGCAAAGTTCAGAAGACTAGGTAGGATGCTGCATTTAAAACTGCAGTTATCCTGGTAGTGTCCCAGAACTACCAAGTCATTTAATTGTTTCATTTTAAAATGTTTTAATATTTATTAAGAACAAATGGTATTATATTAAGCTATATCATTACATCAATGCATTCATTTTCTACATGCTACTAACACAGTAACTTTTATGATATCTGCGCAAAGCCTCACATGGCCAAAGACATAACACATCAGATGGACTATTAAAGTTATTAGTTATACCTGTACTACAGTAATGCTGAGTCTGCCCACTGTGCCCATTGGACTGCCATACTGTAACTGTTGGGCTGCTTGCGCATCCAACTGGATTTGCTGCTGCTGCTGTGTTGGAGCGATGCGCAGGAAATCTTGAGGAAGCTCACCAATGTACACCTGTAAAACAAACATAACAAATTGGATTATAAGCCAAGAGCTAACCTGTGGAAGATAGCATCTTCTTTCTTTCTTCTACTAGAAAAGCTAAGGCAAGGAAACGACTGCTTCATAACTTCTGCAGAATTTTATTTTCACATTGACAACATCAAAGTGATAAATTCCATGACAGATTTGTTTACAAAAAGTTAACACCACCCAGGAATCTCTCTTGCCCTTCTAAAACATCAAGTTCAGCAAGATTCAGACCTCTGAAAGTTAAGCTATACCACAGGTGTCAGCAACATGTGTGTCGAGTATGGCATGCAAGGCCATTTTGCTTAGTGTGCTACCACTAGCCCAGACTCTAGGCAGCTGCTGCCAGTCACAGAGCCTGGGCTACTCCAAGCAGGTGGCTGGGAGACTTGAAGCCCTGCTGCAAGCAGACCAGGCTCCATGGCTGGCAGCAGCTGCCCAGAGCCTGGGCTAGCTGCAGCCAGGAGGCTGCAAACAGCTGCTCCAGGTTCCGCCATCAGCTCCATGCTGGTGGGTGCACGCACGCCTCAGAGCAGATGGTGGGGGAGGAGCCTGAAGCAGTGCAACCTGGGCCTCTCCTCCTCTGCTGGCACAGAGCTGATGACTGGGATCTGGAACCCCACAAAATCCCACATGCAAGTCAAATAATCCTGGAAAGGACCCAAAAGGTTAAAGTTTATTTAAAAAAATCCAAAGTGAAAACTATATGAAAGAAATTTCTGCCTTGGTAGCTTAACTGCCTGCACATAATATAATGCAAATACAAAATTTCGGTGCTATTTTTATGGTACACTTGGAAGGGAAACAAAAGAGATAATCTTGTAGCAAACCAGCATAATATGCAAAGTACACTACATCAAAAGCCCTGCATCCATTTTATATCTTATGCACAATGCTTTATTTTCTACAGAGCAAGTCACAAAGCCCAACAATGACAGGAGTCATATGCAGGATATTTCCTGGCAAGTGAGTAACCTTGTCAACCTGACAAGTGCAGACAAGAACATTACCTTATTGTAGGAAATTAAAAGCCCTGTAGGCTATGTCTTTAAAAGATTACTCATAAGCACTCACCCTCTAAAGATAATATCTATTGTGTGTAGGAACTACAAAGAATTTAAATTTGTCAAAAGCCATGGCTTCGGCATCTCAGCAGGAGTAAATACAGCAGGCCAGGTCTGAGGTGCATTAAAAAAAAAGTAGGGGAAAGTCGGCCTGCATGCTCTGAAGTTCATTTTATCATTTTTACTTACTAGACGAGCATTTAAATCTTAAAGCCAAGTTCTGCAATATTTGCTTTTTAAAGAAGTTAAACCCATTCTAAAAAACCCCCTCATCCGCCAATGTTAGTTTAGGAAATGAGGGTTGTTTTATTGTATGTTCAGATTCTCCCCCATTCCCAGATCGTAAGTTTTCCCTAATGATATTCACTGCACATAACAGTAATTTATCATGACTCTCAAAAGCTTGAAACACCTTCCAGGGAAAATATTGCAGCAATGCCAGTAATCTATTCTTTAGAAAAGGCCCAAGAAGATGAAATGTTTGACCTACAGCATCTTAAACCCAATTTGTAGTCTTCACAAACCCTTAAGAATACCAAATCTATACACCTTAAGTTTTTTGTATGTCTTTTTGTCTCAGACCAACACAGCTATCAAGTACACCCCTGAAACATGGAAAATGCTGAATTTTAGCCAATTTTGGATTTTAAAGTTCACTGCAAAACAACAAGGAAGGGGTTTTTTTTGTTGGGGTTTTTTTTTTTTTTTACCTCCCTGCCTGCAGGGAAGGAATACTACCTGATCAGCACATCAATGAGCTACTCAAC